TTTCACGTGCACAGTTTGGAAGCAAATGATCAAAAACTAACCTTAAAACCAGTTTTTCGCAGCTGTAGGCAAAAGCAAGGAAAATCGGCAACAAGGCCTCTCTTGGAAAAACATCGGCAATTGCCTGGTTAGTTTGTGTGCGAAATTTCGATTGTTTCACGTGCGAAGTTTGGAAGCAAATGACAAAAAACTAAGCTTGAAACCAGTTTTTCGCAGCTGTAGGCAAAAGCAAGGAAAATCGGCAACAAGGCCTCTCTTAGAAAAACATTGGCAATCGACCGTTTAGTTTGTGTTCGAAATTTCGATTGTTTTCACGTGCGCAGTTTGGAAGCAAATGATCAAAAACTAACCTTGAAACCAGTTTTTCGCAGCTGTAGGCAAAAGCAAGGAAAATCGGCAACAAGGCCTTTCTAGGAAAAACATCGACAATCAATCGCTGAGTTTGAGTGCGAAATTTCAATTGTTTTCACGTGAGGAGTTTGGAAGCAAATGACGAAAAACCAACCTTGAAACCAGTTTTTCGCAGCTGTAGGCAAAAGCAAGGAAAATCGGCAACAAGGCCTTTCTAGGAAAAACATCGACAATCAATCGCTGAGTTTGAGTGCGAAATTTCAATTGTTTTCACGTGCGCAGTTTGGAAGCAAATGACTAAAAACTAACCTTGAAACCAGTTTTTCGCAGCTGTAGGCAAAAGCAAGGAAAATCGGCAACAAGGCCTCTCTTGAAAAAACATCGGCAATCACCTGTTTAGTTTGAGTGCGAAATTTCGATAGTTTTCACGTGCGCAGTTTGGAAGCAAATGATCAAAAACTAACCTTGAAACCAGTTTTTCGCAGCTGTAGGCAAAAACAAGGAAAATCGGCAACAGGGCCTTTCTAGGAAAAAAACAGGGGCAATCACTCGCTGAGTTTGAGTGCAAAATTTCGATTGTATTCACGTGAGGAGTTTGGAAGCAAATGACGAAAAACCAACCTTGTAACCAGTTTTTCGCAGCTGTAGGCAAAAGCAACGAAAATCGGCAACAAGGCCTCTCTTAGAAAAACCTTGGCAATCGCCCGTTTAGTTTGTGTTCGAAATTGCGATTGTTTTTACGTGCGCAGTTTGGAAGCAACTGACAAAAAACTAACCTTGAAACAAGTTTTTCGCAGTTTTAGGAAAAAGTAAGGAAAATCGGCAACAAGACCTCTCTTGAAGAACCATCGGCAATCACTCGCTGAGTTTGAGTGCGAAATTTCAATTGTTT